CTCCCCCTCTCCCTCTCCCTCTTCCTCTGTCTCTCTCTTGTAGTCAGAGCTCACTTGGACTTCTGACATGCCTACCTCTGCCGCCTAAGTGTTAGGATTACAAGCGTGCACCACCATGCCTGGTAGCATGTTATGCTAGGGATAGAATCCAGGGCTTCACGCTCGCTAGGCGCACACTCAGCAGCCTCCAAGGATGCTAATACCTGTAGCAGTACTCTCTCTGATCTACAGCTGTAGGCATAGAATCAAGGCTTAGGGCCTAATGTCTTTTTTTTTTTTTTTTTTTTTTTTTTGGTTTTTCGAGACAGGGTTTCTCTGTCTAGCCCTGGCTGTCCTGGAACTCACTCTGTAGACCAGGCTGGCCTCGAACTCAGAAATCCACCTGCCTCAGGGCCTAATGTCTTTGTGTGCAAAGACACGGTTGTGAATACGAGGAAGTGTCAAGGATAATGATTGCATTTGATAGTGGTAATTATCACTCATCAAAGTATGGGCCATTTTAGCGGCATGTGTGATCTGCCTTCATGGGGCCACATCTTTGAAGACTAGCGCAGTGGTATCTGTATGCATCAAACCATCTCAGAAGGAGACTGCAGTGCCTGCAGTGATGGATCGGCTTGACTCTTAAAAAGAAACTACCTCCATTACTCTGGGGTGCCCTCTTCTTTTGTATCAGGAATGATGTTTATTTGCTTTTGTCAATCAACTTGCAAGTCAATCTGAGGACTGGCCACCAGATGGCAGCATCTCCTAGTCATTCCGTAAGCCATGCCTGCAGAAAAGTAACTGGCCATGCCTTTATTATCCGGTTTTGTTTGTTTAAATAATATGTTTATTAATTCTTTAAGCATTTCATACAGTGTATTTTGATCATCTTCACTTTCCTTTATTCTTCCCAGATCTGTCCCCCACTCTCCCTACCATTAAACCTCACAACCTTCCTTTTTATTTTTTAAAACTCATTGTGCTCAGTTTCTTTTGGACCCTTGGGTGTGGGATTGCGTTCTGGAGCATGGTCAACCTACTGGAAATCACACCCTTAAAGAAAGCTGACTTTTCTTCTCTAAGTCACTACGACTTGCCAGTTGATCCTCAGTTAGCAGTGACTTTGTGGCCACCTCTCCCCTCCAGGCTGGGATCTTGTCCGGCTTGAGTTTGTGTGGTCTTGTGCATGCTGTCTCAACAGCTGTGAGTATAGATGTGCACGTGCCCTGTTGTGTCCAGAAAAAAGTCTCATTGTTGTCATCCCCTGTCTTACAGTCTTTCTACCCCCTCCCTCCAAATAATCCCTGAGCCTTGGGCCAAGGTGATGCTACTTTCTAAGAGAAGAGTTTCCCCAGAAGATGTGATTTAGTCCACTAGCACAGTAGTTACAGGAGAGGAGAAGGGAGGGAGGAGGGGAGGGGAGGGGAGAGGAGGGGAGGAGAGGGGAGGCTAGACGGAAGCTTGCTCTACCTTATCGTCCTTCATTTCCCGGATGCAGAGCATTCACATCAATACGTAATCTTGCTTTGCAAGTCTAAACTTTTGGGAACCAAAGTTACCAGACCACCAAACACTCCCTAAGGATCATACTAGCTAATTCTCTTCCAAAACCCAAACTCCAGTTTTATGTTGATTTATCTTTCCTTGTTTTAGACTCTAGTCAGGCAGGCCTGGGCAACTAGCCACCCAGTCATGTCTGCTCTGACTTGCTCTGTCAGCTGTACTGCCTGTCATTTAGTAAAGAGGACAGTGTTTGCTTTCAAGGAAGGCCATGTTGACAGACTAGCCTCTCTCAGAGAAAAGGGTACCAAAGGGGAGAGAGGGAAGAAGGGGGACATATTACACAGAAGGACGGGGAAGGGGGGCTCTAAGTAGATTTTACTTTGCTCTCTCGGTACCTCTCCAGAGCCCAGTCTTTACCACCCTTTCTCTCGTTCTTGTTTTCTTCTCAAGCACTTTCTAGGGAATGATGGATCTACAGAGGACCCAGTCCTTGCTTCTGCTCTTGGTGCTGACCCTGCTGGGGTTAGGGCTTGTACAGCCCTCCTATGGCCAGGATCGAATGTACCAACGGTTCCTTCGACAGCATGTGGACCCTCAGGTGACAGGTGGCAATGACAACTACTGCAACGTGATGATGCAGAGACGGAGGATGACTTCTTCCCAGTGCAAACGCTTCAACACCTTCATCCACGAAGACATCTGGAACATTAGTGGCATCTGCAGTACCACCAACATCCAATGCAAGAATGGCAATATGAACTGTCATGAAGGGGTAGTGAAGGTCACAGACTGCAGAGAGATAGGGAGCTCTAAGGCCCCCAACTGTAGATACAGGGCGAAAGCCAGCACTAGGCGAGTTGTCATTGCCTGTGAGGGCAGCCCAGAGGTTCCAGTACACTTTGACAGATAGATGCCATCCTGCAGCTGTGACAGCTGGTTGTTGACCTCTGAGTCAGTGAGAATAGCGATGAGTGATGGCCCTAGGCTTTGTTTCCTGTGCTTGTGTCTTATGCTCACATATATCCAACATAACCCATAGTATTAAGTGCATCCCATCTGAGAGAAGAAAGAAGCCCCTCCTTATAGCACTGATGGTTTTGTTCTCCCAGATTCTATCCCCTGGACCTTATGCATTACATGTATTTAGATAGTATTTCAACTATTATAACGAGCTTTCTCTGTACAACTTGTCTCATTCCAATCCTTTAACACCCCTTGATGCCGATTCTGGTACTTTATTTAGAAGCTTAGAATTAAAGGATTTGATGACCATAAAAACAGTGGAAGATCTCAGACAAAAATCCAACGGAATGGGCTACTTTATTACATATGCTTTTGTTATTCCTAAATGTCATTGTTAGGGAAGCCACTAAGAGTTTGGAAATAGGGACTGGAGAGATGCCTCTGTGGTTAAGAGCACTGGCTGCTCCTCTAGAAGACCCAGGTTCAATTCCCAGCACCCACACAGCAGCTCACAACTGTCTGTAACCCAGCTCTAGGTGATTTGACACCTTCACCCAGACATACATGTAGGCAAAACACCAATGCATATAAAATTAAAGAGTTCGGAAATCACATATTGGCAAAATGAGAGTTACTTGGTATTATTTTGGTTTGTGGCTACTAAGATTCTTTTTTTAAATATATAAAAAATGTGGTAAATCACTAAGATTTGTTTACCCTTTTCCTCTGAAAGACTTTCAATATTTTATTATAATAAAGATCTGTATGCTGAGCCAACTGTGTCTGGATTTGTGTTCTGCTCTTTCTCAGTTCCTCTCTAGTCTGTGACCTCTCGTGCCCCTTAGTGTCTGGTCAAATACAAATGGCTGTTAGCTCCATCACGACATCTGACTTTGTCTCCTTTACTCCACTGAAAGTGATCCCACTCATACACAGGACCTGAAATAAGAACTCAGAGGTGGTCTTTGCTAAAAAGCACCAATTCTTCATGCAGCAAATTGAGAGTGCTCTGCATTATTTGGCATTATTGATGTTTATAACTGCATATTCCCAATGGGTGACTGACAGGAGGCTAACAAGGTTGGCATTTCTGGCTGCATGTGATTTTCCCTTTTTGAGTCTTCTGTGGTCAAATAGAGTCCAAGATCAACAGGTCTGATGGATAAAAAGAGAGTGACGGCTTTTCTCCTTAAGGATTTTATATGTGGGGGGGAGGGGGAGGGGAGGGGATGGGAATGGGGAGAGGGGGAGAGACGGGGGGAGGAAGAAGGAGAGAGAGAGAGAGAGAGAGAGAGAGAGAGAGAGAGAGAGAGAGAATGAGGACATATGTATGCCACTGCTCACATGTAGAGGTCAGAGAACAACCCTTGAAAGTCAGTTCCACTGTGAGACAGGAATCAGATCATCAATCAGGTTTGTGTGGCAAGTGCTTTTACTGGCTATGCTATCCGGCTGGCCCTTTCAAAAAAAAAAGATTGCTTTATTTTATTGTTCACAAGTGTGTGTGTGTGTGTGTGTGTGTGTGTGTGTGTGTACATGCATGCATGTGCGTGTGCAGTGCTCAGGAAGAGGTCAAAGGTTATCTCTTTTCACCATGAATTCCAGGGACTGAAATCAGGCTGTCAGACTTGTTAGGGCAAGCATTTTTATCCACTGAGTCATCTCATTGGTCCAGACAATGACTCTGTCCAACCTGAGATAATAGTTAGCTTGACCACAGAAACTGCTTAACACTGCCTGCCCCCATCCCCTGCATATTCTTAGCAGTTTTGTTAGTGCCTTGGAAATGGTTAAAGATGCCAGGCTTCCAGCCCTACCAGCACACTTGGGTAAAGCTCTACTTGTCATTCCACTGTTACCTTTTCTATTTGATGTTTCAGTGGCCAGACCTCACTTCTTGGGACCACAAAAGTAAAGCCTTGTGCCTAGTTTAATAACACCCATTTCTTCCCACCTTGAACATTTAATAGAACATTACTCTAAAGATGCTGGTTGTTTAAAGAAGTGTACATGTGAGAGACTAAACTGATATTTGAATAATAGTAAATTGGAAATGAGACTTGATTTGAATTTCCCTTACCTGACTTAAGCAAAGGATCCCACAAAGTATAGCCAGGAAGTAATTACTCCAAGACAATTATGTAAATAAACCAACAATACTTGAAGCATGGAATGTCAGTTGGTCCAAGAGAAAATGTTCCTCCCAACAACACATCTGTATAAATACATTTAGGGTAAGGAAAGAGGATGGAGGAGAATCCTCTCTCTCCTGGGCACCTTCAGGCAGCCATGAGAGCTGATCACTGTATTTGCCTTGGTTCCTATGTTGAGCACTGACACTTGACATTTCTTGAGTGACAGGACAGTCTTGTTGCTCACAGCACCTTTGATCACATATGAGTTTATGTTAATGGAATGACTTAGAGTAAGACTCATAGTAATCGCAAAATAGGCAAGTCACTAAAAACATCAAGTGTTTGGAGAGTTGAAACTTTCTGTCCTTCTTAACAGACTTTAGGAATTAAGATAGAGCAACTGGGAATTCAATTCTATAAATCTCGTAGACAAGAACATCTAAGAGTCTGTGAAGATGCTGCATGAGTGATGTCCCCAAAGACACCTGGACATGCCACGGAATGGAACATGCCCTAAACCTTCCCCTATGCATCGTCTCTGCCGGTGGAAGTGGAAAATTCACGATACAAAATGGTCTCAGTACGTCAAGAACCTACAGGTTGAGTCAAAGATGTGCATTTATAAACTTAGATGAGTGCTGAACTTATTGATTTTGCTTTAAAGAAAAAATACTGTAATAAAGTTGATGACCTCTTTTATTTTGGATGTTGAAGAGTAGGGTTAAAATGGGCTAAAACAATCTATGAGAAGATCATATATTTCGTGGAATCATTAAGTCAGCTTTCAACATTACCTGTGATTAAGCTACTATGCAAATATAGAGTATTTTTAAAAACCTACTTTAATAAGGGTTCTTAAATGCTTCAATCTCCCGTCTAGCCCACCGCCCACCAGAGGTTGTGGAAAAGAAGGGTTAGTAGGAAATAGGGGTTGTGGGCCTGTTTAGAAACAGTTCTTTGGGGGCTATTCTAGTATTCATTGTCAGCAGTCCAGTCCTCTAGTAAAACACCAACATGAATCAGCGACAGCAGTTTAATCCAAAAGAAACTTCAAGGCTCCACCAATCAGCCTGAGTCATGGAAGTGGCAAAATATCACAAGACGTTCTTCAGTGTGTTATTCTCTACAATGTCATGACAAGTGAAGCTCAGCAAGGAAACATAAGGCAAACAGTAAGGCAAGAGCTTCCTCCCACTGTCTGTGAGGTCGTAATTATATCCTTTCTAAACATTAGCTGTCCTCTCACGAGCGTGATTCAGCAAAACATACTCTAACCTGTGTCTGCTTCAGCAAAAGATCCTTTCACCTGTCTGCCCCAGCAAAACATCATATAACATAACTGAGTTTCCAAAGAAACTAGAAATTTCTACTTCAGAGTACAAAATGTGTAGCTTTTTGTTGTTGTTTTTTTCTTTTTCAATAAACACAGAAGCTCTCCTGATTTACCCTCAGATGGTGTCAGTCTCCTTCCATCCCCAGGTCTACACTTGGGGACCCACTGGAGCTGGACTTCGGCACACCAAGGTCTATATCCTTATTTGGCTACTTCTTCCTCCTAAGTCTGACTACCAAGGTCCAGCTCTCAAAGTATTGAAGTCCAGCAATGAAAAGCCCCTCTTGGTCCACCTCATTAACCTGCCCAATTAAAATTAAGTACCTCATCCTAACACAGGGTTTCCCTTTTCCCTTTATAAACTGTCATTTTCCTATGGGTCATGTCTGTCTCCTTTCTATCCAGAGGCAGTCCTTTGTCCTCTGGGGAAAATGTCCCTTACCCTTCTCCCTTGCCCCTTTTCTCTCCTTTCCTTTGTTCTCTTCGCCCCTTCTTCCTCTATCTCTTGTGCTTGTCCCTTATCCTGTCTGTCTGTCCATCCCTCTGAGGCAAATACATCTTCCTTGTGCTGAGAACCTGGTCTGAGAACTTGGTCTTGGGGACCCTGAGCCAGTACTTTTCCTTTTATACATTATGATTCGTAACAGTAGCAAAATTAAAGTTATGAGGGAGAAATGAAAATAATTTTATGGTTGGCAGTCACCACAACATGAGGAACTGCATTAAAGGGTCACAGTATTGGAAAGATTGAGAGCCTGCTTTACAAGATCAACAAGTGCACTTACCCACAACGCTATCTCTCTAGTCCCCTGTCTTGTACTTCTTACACTGTTTGCCTGTTGTTTGCCAAATAACCCGGATATACATTTGTGAGGACTAGATGAGACCCTGAGTGGGTGTGTATTGTTAACATGAGTACAACCATCCCAAGGAATCTAATGCCTCAGACTCAGGGAGTGGCAATGCCTTCCCTGGTTCAGAGCAATGGGAAGGGCTTCTCCTGGCCCGAGCTCAGATGTTGAAAACATGTGCAGAAAGTACCAACCCACAGCTGCCTCCTGGATGACTGCAGCCTGAGACCATTTCCCTTCAGAGACCCTCTCCCAAGATTAGCTAACTCACTTCCTTCCCGTTCTTTCTCTGTGTAACGTGATGAGAGTTTCCAGCTGCTGCCAATGTGTCTCCATCAGAACACACAGCCCATGTAATTCCAGGTTTTCTGTGCACCTGTCTATAGTTTCTACGTTCTCCACTGCCCCCTTTCACATCAAACCCAAAGTTGAACAGGTCAATAGGTGATGACAGGAGACAGATAGGATATTCGATATTCTCCATTATCAGAGCAGATTTGTTCTTCATTCTATAGAAAGGAATAGTCCCACAAACCGTCTAAGCAGTGTGGCTGTACACCTGCTGGCAGTCTGTTCTCAGCCGTTCAATCTAGAAGTCCTCCAGTGGTTCAGGAGGAATGGAAGACTCAGTGGGTAGCCTTGGTGATGTGAACTTCCCTCCAATGTACAGAAAGAGATGATGACGTAAAAGGTGAGTCTGAGAGACAAGGCTGATGACTTGGACGGAAGGACAAGACTAGACTTTGGAGTAGATTTGTTCCAGTTTGCTAGAAAATACACTTGTGAGAGTGACAGATTTCCCTCTGATTCCCCAGACAGCCATCTCTCTGAATGTAGCCGAGTTTAAAGATTGAAAGGCTTTCGTTTATTCTGACAGGAATCATGAGCCAAATTCTGATTACAGAGACACTGGCCTAGTCAGTGCATTGAAATGACAGCCAGTGCTCAGAGAGCAGAAAAAGAGGTGAGTTTTATAATAAACTCCATCCTGTCATAACCCAGTAGTTTCTGGTTCTACCCACTTATTGCTCAGAATGGCTGAAAGCTATTTTTGTTTGTTTGTTTCTGGGTTTGTTTGTTTGTTTTTGTTTTTGAAGTAGAGTCATAGTTATTCAAGATTTTTTCCAACAAATATGGGATTAGGTCAAATAGGCAACCTCTACCTGGTGGAGAGAGCCGAGGGCGTGGCTGAGTGAGGAGCGACACTTCAGAGAAGGTTTTATCAGTGGTGGAAGGAGTAAGTTTAGTCAAACTAAATGGAATTACATGTCAAAGCTCAAGCAGAAAGGAGTCCGGGAAGGCCATGAAGAAGTGCCCATGCGTGCCTGCCTGATGGCCTGTACTTCTGTTTTCTCTCTGCAACAAACTCCTCTCAGCTTTCTCCTGGCTGAAATATTTCTGACAAGGCAGAGAGGGCTGCCTGACATCAGCTGTCTCTACCAGTAAGCAGACACCCACTTGTGTGTGGAGCTCCTGGGACTCATGAGAAGGTCAGCTGGAGTTGCTGGTCACAAACTCTTGTGAGCTCGAGCTACAGCTTTCTTTATCTCTAACCAGCACATTTCCTGTTAGTATCTGAAGGAATTATTACATTTCAGCTGTGGTCTGGTGAAATTAAATTTTTTTTTCTAACATATCACTTCACACACCCAAGGACTGTTAGTTGTCTATGAAGACCTTGCAAACCCTGAGAACACAGGTTAGAATCCTAAGCAGAGGCTTCTGGGGATCCTCTCAACAGCTGCATCAGGAAGTCTAGATCACTAGACTAATGATAATAGTATCTGACTAATAGTAATACAAAAATAAATAATAAATAAATAAAAACTGAACAGTGGAAGAAATATCAAAGACTTCATAGATTGAGTTAAATACTAGTCACTCAAATTAGAAGCCATGGACTAAGAAAGAAGCTTTTGGAAGATAGGAAGAGAGAGAGAGAGAGAGAGAGAGAGAGAGAGAGAGAGAGAGAGAGTAAGTACACCCTTTAAGAAGCCCCCCACCTCCCAGAAGGGGCTAGTGAGATGGTCCAGTGGTTAAGAGACTGCTCTTCCAGAAGTCATGAGTTCAAATCCCAGCAACCACATGGGGGCTCACAACTATCTATAATAGGATCTAATACTTCTTCTGGTGTGTCTGAAAACAGCTACAATGTACTTACATTTAATAAATAAATAAATAAACCTTGGGGCCTGAGCAAGAGAGGCTGGAGAGAATGGGAGAAGGGAAGGGAGAAAAAAAAAGAAGTTTTCAGAAGTAAGTAATGGCCACCTTCACTTCCTGAGCTATTTCAGTAGTTTCACGTCTCCAGCTTTTCGAGGGCACTATTTCCCCATCTAGTTTATTATGTTTCCTATTATGGCTGTATATTCAAGAGAGGCCTTTGGAATTTTGCTTTAGATTACAGGAGGATTTACAGATGTATTCATAGAAAGTATGTTTCCACATTTAAAGTGGATTATCCCTTATTTGACAGACACTTGATTGGCTAGCTGACAGTAGAGATGCCTGTGGTAGTATAACTGCACAAGATCTGACAGCAATGACAGGCGTCAGTGCTGCAGATTCCTCTCACACACGTTCTTAGAACTGCTGGCCGATGCTCTAATATACTATAGGATAGACGCTTTGAAAGACTGTGGCCTGGGCTGGGGAAGTGGGTCTGTAGTAGAGCATTCTCCCAGCACATGCAAGGCCCTGGGGTGCAATTCCCAGCACCCCAGCACCACAAAAAAAAAAGAAAGAAAGAAAGAAAAAAAAGAAAAAACATTGCTTTCTTTCTTTTGAATAGAGAGATGGTTTTGTTGCAGGTGTGAGGCAGAGAACAGCCAGAGGCATCTAGAAGAGCATAGAACAGAGGAAAAAAAGAAGAAAAAGAAGAAGCAAACCAGCCATAGGTCGGGCTAGAGAAACAGGGTATGAAAAAAAATCATGCAGGTTATTAATTGCTCCCTGTCCTAATTTGCTTCACCTCTCAGCAGGGCCTTTTCTCTTTTCAGTATCTGTCCAGTTGTATTTAAGTCTTTAGTAGCTTGTGCAAACTTGTTAGAAGGGGTTCTGGACGTCTGTGCGTTATGATTGCTATTGTTTTGTCCTCAGATTTACCTCTAAGTTTTTGAAACTCAGGTGGTCACAAAGTCCTCTTTCTGTCACTCAGACAGCTAGAGACTAGGAGGACGCACAGGACGCAGCTGGAGCCAACCCTCTCCTGCCAATCAGCACAGGCAGGATTCCTGATTAGTCCGGGAACGCTCAGCAGGAGCGTTGGGATCCGCAGGGATGCGTTGGAGGATTCTTTGTTTTGCTTTGCTTTGTTTTGTTTTCTTACAATAGGGTTGCCCAGGCTGGCCTGAAACTACTAAACTTCTGTTTTCTACCCAATAAGATTACCACACCAGGCTTTGAAAAACAAGTTCTAATATAAACAGATGCATGCCGACATTCCCATGACAAGGCAAACTAGAAACTCCACCAGCACAGCGGAACTACTAGCCGCTCTTGCTTTATTAACATAAAGCACCTGCATTGTCTCAACTTATCTGCAAATTGCACTTTGAACGTTCTCTCTTCTTGGTGACATTGATGTAGTTCACATCTTTGCTGAACTCCCTACAGAATATGGCCGAGCCATGCGCCGACTTTCTCCTGAAAGCTTGTCAGGAAACAAGTTTTAGGGACAGATGTCTGGTTGTCTCTTGAAAACTACCAACCATCCCACTCTGAGGTCACCTCTCCCTAACACTTTGAAATTCCTTTGTACCTGGTCTTCCTTCTTTGATGTTTGCATACCTTGCCTAAGGCTACTCTCAGGGTGAACCCAAGTGTTCCACATGAGGAGATACAGAACAGGTTCACATAAAAAGATGTTCCTGACCCTGCCCTCCACGCCACCACCCCCACAAACCCAAAGCGATGTAGTTTACATGGTCGGTCTTTTTTCTATTGCTGTGGACTTCTTGGGAGCTCCAAAAAGGGCTCAGACTCTGTTCTGATCTCCATACCTCTGTATCCACCACAACCAGGACGTGTGCACTCATTAGGTAAGTTAGAAGGACTGGTGTGTGGGAAACTTGACTGAAAGCTCAGACATCATTGGAAAGAGACTGACTGACATTTTAGTGTTAAGGATGAAAGTTGTCCAAAGTCATAGAAAACAAGACAGCATTACCCTCACAGTTGTGGCTCCCACCCTACCCCACCCTCGTCCAGTCTATCTACGTAATTTTGTTGGCTCTCGAAGGTCTATCACGCCCTTACGTGGTCAGGGCATGAATAAGGTGAAAGATTCAACAGGGCCAGGCACACTCAATGTAAATGTTTAAGCAGAAGAATTTTCAAACACTGGACTCTATCTTCTATCCAGCCTCAGTCCTGAGAAGCTAGTTTAATTTAGTTTTGGTATTTAGTTAACTGAAATAATATTTCAGACCTTCTGTTCCTTCTTGACAAGCAACTCTAACAAACCATGATGTTTTTGAATGAATACAGGATTTGGTCCCTAAGAAAAGATGGGAGAGTTTAGAAATGGAGTTTATTCCCCCTAGATTTGGGAGAAATATTATAAGGAAGTTAAGACAAGAGAATCCCCATGGTGCAGTCTGTGTGAAGTACAGCCCGGTGTACAATCTCAGGGTCCCAGAGTTGTCCTTGTTGGCAATATCTCTCAAGCAGTATATTCCCTTCAATGGTCAGTAGTCTTTCCACTTTGAAGAGAAGTCGTTTGAAAACTTGATCTTCTGAGCACTGGGGAGTTAGCTAGAGCCTGTAAGAGAGCAGTAGGTTCCTTCCATTGCAGAAAAAACTGTTGGGGAACCTCACTGGTAAAGCAGTAGTCCCCCATGACCGAATGGCTCTCTGAGCTGGGCGCAAAATAGGGGATTCCCTTTCTCAGTCGGGCTTCCCTGTCTCTGCCTGTCTTTGTTTGGAGAGTGTTCCTTGTCTGAAAAGTGGCCTTGTACCCAGCTCCCTGAAAGGCTGCATAACTCAGCACGCATGCCCCGTTCTGGCTTCATACCTGCATGATAATTAAGGTGCTGTACTGTAACCAAGCAGCCCTTCCTGTTTGCTTGATGCTATGATCAATTAGCCCTTTCCACCTGTACCCCTAAAAAGGCCCTTATATACCCTATCCCCTAAACAATAAAATAGACCCGTCTTCCTGCAGTGGTCCCTGGCAGTCATTCGGTCCACACTCACAGCCAGCCAAGCCCTACACTCTGCCTCTGTTCCCTTCCTCCTCTCAGGCTCTGAGGAGAATGGGGTGGGGGCAAAAGAGAGGGCATATAGGAGGGACTTTGAATTTTCAAAATGAATTCCATATTCTTTATGCAATTTTCTTCTTAGCTCACTCAGTCTGCAACACAGTTTTTATTTGCAATTAACTTTAGTATCTAATGAGGGTTATTTTCTCTGGGAAACGAAATTATGAGGAATAGAAATTTAAAGTACAGCTCAGCTTACAGGGCAGTATTACAACATTTTCTTTTCTTTCTCTTGTGGCCATGTAGATGTCCCTGGTGCCTGCTATGATGTCCTCTCTAAAAGCTGGGGACATGCTCCTGCTCCTGCTCTGCCTGCAGTATAGCCTTCCTGCACAAAGCACTTCCAGGAGGCAGTTCATGGAACACCATCACCTAAGTCCAAACAAAGAGTTCAGCGACTATAGCTGTGATGTCCTCATGACAGATAAAGCCCTGAAACCAAGGCTCTCACACCCGTTCGTTTATATGACATGGTACAAAGTTGAACACATATGCACAAGTAACAGCTGGAAAGATCGCTACAAAAATTTGTATGTTTGGGCTCAGACTCCCATTAAGGTCCTCAGGTGCCAGTGGGAGAGCTTAAAAAATCAATATACAGAGAGAAGGAGCTACAGCTATGTTCAGTTCCATTGCAATGCTGAAGGGTATGTCGACAGCATCGAGGACATGAAGGTTCTAGAGCCCATCTTGTAAAAAGTCTTGCCAGCTCTGGATGGTTCTGAAAGAGCAGTGAGTAGTTCTCACATGTCAACCTCTCTCAACCACTCCTCACTCCCCCACTCCATACACCCTTGCCTACCCACAATCCTCCAACACCCACCCTCCACCCTTACTCCCCACCCCACTCACCCTCACCCACCCCTCACCCCAATCCCACCTCTCTCACCCATCCCCCACCGTCACCCCATCCTCCATCCCCTGCTTACAATAGTTCTGTTACTTCCGTTTTGCAGTTATATGTCAATCATGTCAATAATGTCAATTGTATTTTCCAATCACATTGATTCTTGGTATTACAATCGTGCTTATGGGTTCTCTGCCTGAGATAATGTTCCTCCCTTCTTTAGTTACTCCTATTCCCATTTTTAATGACTTGAGTCTCTGTTACTGTGACAAAGCGTATGAGAGAAGGCATTCAAGAGAGGACTTACTCGCCTCCTAGTGTCTGGGCTGGCTTTCGGTCTGTGGTCTGGAGGCTCTGCTGTCCTCAGGATGAGTGAGGCAGAGCATTATGGTGGGAAATGTGGAAGAGCCTCACTTAATACAGGCTGGTAAGTAGAAAGAGAAGGGAGAGGAAGAGTATGGGGACAAGATGTGACAAAGATGGCTCCAGTGACTGACCTCCTCCAGATGGGCCCCCAGATCCACTCAGCTATGAATTCATCAATGGATTAATCCACACTCAAAGTAATTACAGCCTTCATGACCCAACTGACAAATAAGCCTTCTACTCAGGAGCCCATGGGAGGACACTGGACAGTCAAACCAAGGCAGCGTCTTCTGACTTATCCAAGATTTTTCCTGAAATCATCTTTATGCCTATCCAAACCGAATGATCTTCCCTTCCATGAATAAACTGTTATTCCACTGTGTGTCATACGTGTACATATTATATGTGTAGGGTTTGTGTGTGTGTGTGTGTGTGTGTGTGTGTGTATTGGTATGAGCAATGCAGTTACATGTAATATGAAGTTTTGATAGATTTGAGTATCTTAGACTCAAGGTTACTTTATGTATGCACCTGCATACATGTGATATGCCTATGTGCTGAGGTAGATGTAAGTCTCAACTTGGACAATGGTTGTAGAGGTACCCTGACTTCTAGCCAAATGGAAGGGCAAGGCAGAGGGCAGTAGATGACTACCTGTTGGGTCGAATAGCATGTAAGTCTCTGACTCATAGCCTAGGAAATTTGTGGGATTTCCCCCTCTTTCTTATCCTTTGGCTTAGAATTTTAATTTTGACTTTGATAAAAGTGTTCGAATCATTTGCGCCCCCTGACTGGAGAAGATTTCTAGCATAAAACAGATATTAAGGATGGTGGAGAGGTGACTCTGTACATAAGAGCACTTGCTGTTCTTCTAGAGGCCTCAAGCTCAGTTCCCAGTCCCCCATCAGGGGACTTACAACCGTCTGTGACTCCAACTCCAGGGCCTCCAATGGCACCTGCACTCATGTGCACATGACCACGCACAGCCATACACCTACACATAGTCAAAAATCATAAAAATAAATCTTAAAAATCCCTCAAGACAGACACCAGGCTATAATTAATGTAGAAGCCATAAACACTACCAGATCAAGTAATCCTGCCTGGGATGTTGTGCTGAGTAGTTTTAAACCAATTTGACACAAGCTAATGTCACCAGAGAGAAGGGAGCCCCAATTGAGAAAAAAAAAAGCCCTCATAAGATCAGGGTGCAGACAAGGCTGTAGGACATTGACTTAATTAGTGATCAATGGGGGAGGGCCTAGCCCATTGTGGGTGGAACCATCCCTGGACTGGTGATCCTGAGTTCTATTTTAAAAAAGGCCTGTTTGAGTTCCTGTCCTGACTTCTTTTGATGAGCAGTGATATAGGAAAGTGTAAGCCAAATAAAGCCTTCCCTCCCCAGGTTGGTTTTGGTCATGGTGTTTCAATAATCTACCTGACTAAGACCGAGGTCAAGATGGTTCAGCAGCAGATATGGAGATCTGAACGGAAATATTCCCATATGTTTATGTATTGGAACGCTTAGTCCCCAGTTGGTGGTGCTGTTTGGGAGGTAATAAAACCTTTTGACTGGAGCTTTGTGGGAGGAAGCGTACCATTGGTGCAGTCTTGGAGAGTTTATAATCTTGTCCAAATTCCAGTTTGATCTCCCTGCTTTCGGAATATGGTTGAAGTTGTGATCTCTCAGCTTCCTGTTTCATCAACCTGTTGCCATGCCTCCCCATATTTATGGACTCTCTTTCTAGAACCGTAAGTCATACTAAACTCCTGCTTCCATAAGTTGCTTCTGGCCACGCTTGTTTATTGCAGTCACAGAAAAGTAACTAATCCAACAGGTAAGGGGTATTGCCCACAGGCCTCAGGACCTCTGATCCCCGGAAACCACTCCAGAGGTAGAAGGAGAAAACTAACGACACAAAATTGTCTCTGCCTTCCATATGTACCATGTCATGCCATGCACACACCACACTCACACATACATATCACATATAGACACACACAATACTAATAATGCATCTTAGTGGTTTTAACATTTTTTATTATGTGTATGTATGTATATGGGGGATGCATATGTGTGAGGGTGCCTGTGGAGGCCAGAAGATGTTATATCCCCAGAAGCTGGAGTTACTGATGGTTGTGAGCCACCAAATGTGGGTATTGGGATCCAAACTCATGTCCTCTCTAAGAGCAGCTACTCTTAGCCACGGACATATCTCTCTAGCCACCCCTCAACCTAAAAACTCCAAAACTTTTCTTCTGTAAACCATACATGAACAGACAGCATTTACTGATTCATTAGGACATTTGTCTTTAGGACCTGGGAAGTAAAGTAAGTCACTTTACTTAGTGAAGTGCTCAGCATACAAGCATGAAGGCTTGAATTCAGATCCCCAGGGCCTGAACATTTGTGGTTTGGAATTCAAGAGGGACTCTGGGGTACATTAGGTAAGAGATTCATTAGAAGAGAAGAGTTATTAGCACCATGGACAGACTACAGCATGGCAGGGGCTAAGAAGACAACTCACACCAACATGGCAGAGTGAGGAGTCCTTTCTTACGGTCTCAGAGAAGGGGAGATTTCCTGTAGTTAGGCTGTCCCTGATTTCCTGATAGATGGCAGAGGAGGGGAGGAAGTCTTGCACTGATAGGAATCAGTGGATGTGAGGGAGGAGGAGGGCTCCATCTGGATGCATTGTACCTATTACACTATCAACCTTCTGTGGTGGTGTGAATAGGTCTAGCTCCCATAGACTGTATGTTTCAATGCTTGGCCCATGACGATTGTCACTGTTAGAAGATGTGGCTTTGTTGGAGGAAGTGTGTCTCCATAGAGACAGGATTTGTGGTCTCCTATGCTCAAGCTACACACAGAGTGGAACACAGTCTCCTGCTGCCTTGGGATCAAGATGTAGAACTCTCAGCTCCTTCTCCAGCACCATGTCTGCCTGCATCCTGTCATGCTTGCAATCATGATGATAATGGACTAAACGTCTGAAATGGTAAGGTAGCCCCTCTGTGCCTTAGGCCTTTATTCCTGTGAAGAGACACCATGGCCACAGCTTATTAAGGAAAATATTTAATTGTGACTAGCTTACAGTTTCACAAACCACACAAACACCAGTCTCAGTCAGACAGGAATAGTTTATTGAGTATTTGCCCCAGGACTGAACGATCAGGGCTGCAAACTAGACTCAGGAGTTGATTGTGACCCCTAGCCAGAATCCCACAGAGCTTTTAAGCCTGAAATCCACAAACATGTATGCCAAATTATTCCACCAATCAGAATTTAGGGATAGGGGACTTCCTTAGAAACATATCTTTGTCATACACTTATCCTGTTCCCGTTGGTTGAGCTATTCAATTGTGGTAGGGTGACTTGACTTGCCTACCATCCATATCCCAACTTGCCAACCAGGATGTCAGTTACCCATGTACATGTCTCTTTTTGCAAAGTAGGGTGTCAGTTCCCAGGGAGGTTTTGAGTCCAAGTTTATTGTGGCTATATAAACAAAGTAGTTCTAACTGACCTCTGTTGTGATTGGTTTCCAAGAGCACCAAAGCACAGGACATAACAGAATACTCAATTGACTCAGGCAATGAGAACGTTTCCCAGTAACAGTCATAAGAGCATGTGAGAAGGTTTCCTTGTAACAGTGACGACAGCATAAAATGGCTGGCTGGCCAGGCAGTGGTTACCCAGAACTTAACAATCTCACGGGTGTGATATAGCTGTTGTTACTTCTTATCAAAAGCTGATATGTGTGTATGTGAGTGTGTGTGTGTGTGTGGGGGGGGTCTATTCCCCTAGAGAACAAAGGCTAATATGCTTTCCCCTAATTTCTGATTGATCAGTTTAAACAAAGAAAGAACTTTTTACCCCACAGCTTTGGGCAGGTAAACGTGTTTAGGACACACCTTGAACATATCTGACCTTCCTGGACCAGTCGGCTATAAGGGGTCCCTGCTTGTGGGAGAGAAGGGTAAAGGCCTTAGATCAGCGAGGTCATGGAGAAGCCGGAAGTTTGCCGTCTTTGCTATCTCTGCTACCTATCAATGGTGCCTTTTCTTATCTATCAATTAGTCTGGCATGTGTCCAGCCCTAGTCTGGCATATGGTTTGTGTCTTTTCTGTTTTTCCTTTCTTTTTTCTTTTTCTTTTTTTTTTTTTTTTTTTAAGATTTATTTATTTATTATTTGTAAGTACACTGTCGCTGTCTTCAGACACCCATATGAGGGCATCAGATCTCATTGCAGATGGTTGTGAGCCACCATGTGGTTGCTGGGATTTGAACTCATGACCTCTAGAAGAGCAGTCAGTGCTCTTAACTGCTGAGCCATCTCACCAGCCCTTCTTTTTTCTTTTTCTTTCTTTATTATTCTCATTTTTTCTTCCCTTTACCCAAAACTAACTCTTTCCTTTCCTTTTTCTTTCCTTTTTCCTTTCTTTTCTCCCTTCCTGGTATATAGGCCATTGGTCACTCAACTTCCCGAGGGATGGAGACTGGTCTACAGTATCTGAGGGTGTATCTTTACCCCTCAGTCTCTCTTCACTCTTTACTTTTTTTCTTGCCTCTACCATTTCTTTTTAGGTTCT